GCGGAATACCAGGGGAGCAGCAAAAAGCGGAGCCCCCAGAGTCGCGCACACTGCGCGCAGAGGACAGTCTGTTGACTCTGATGCTAGACTCCCCTAGCGGGAAGGAGAAAAAAAGCTCCAGACTGGAGGAACGCGACGAGGAGCAGGATCCCCTGCCGGACACTGGCCAGCCGGGCGCCAGCAAGGAGCCGGGCGACAGGGCCCCCAGAGGGGCGGGGGTGCCCCTGGGCCTTCGACCGCTGAGCTTGGACCACTGAGCCGAGGCCGGGGGCTGCTTCCTGGGCGGCGCCGACCCCGGCAACAGACTGAAGCAGTGCAGGAGTCCTCGGAGAACAAAGGGGTGCCACAGGCCAACCTGCTGAGCTTCTAGGACAAGGAGGAAGAAACCGAAGAAGTTTTCAATATGAAGAAATCAAATGAGAGCAAAAGATAGCAAAATTGCTTAAGAAAGAATACAAAGAAGATCTTGAAAAATCGAAGACTGAGTCAGAACTCAACTCAGCAGCCAACATTGCAACATAAATGCGTTTTTTTTTTTTTAAAAAAAAAAAAGGACAGAATGTTGGAACGGCGGCGGCCAGGCCTAGAGTAGCCAGGCACAAGGCAGTGGCAGCCGGGCCCAGAGCAGCAACAGCCAGGCCCCAGAACAGCAGCAGCCAGAACCAGAGCAACAACAGCCAGGCCTGGAGCAGCCAGACCTGGGGCAGTGGCAGCCAGGCCTGAGGCAGAGGCGGCCAAGCCCAGGGTGGCCAGTTCAGGAACACCCAGGCCTGGAGTGGCCGGGCCTGGAGAAGCCGGGCCCAGAGAAGCCGGGCCCAGAGCAGCCGGAGCGGAAACAGCCAGGCCCAAAACAGCAGCAGCCAAGCCCAGAGCATCCAGGCTGGGAGCTGCCAGGCTCGGAGCGGCCAGGCCTGGGGCAGCTGGGCCCAGAGCAGCCGGGCCCAGAGCAGCCGGATTGGGAGCAGCCAGGCCCAGAGCAGCAGCAACCATGCTTGGAGCAGCCAGGTCAGGAGCGGCCACGCCCAGAGCAGCAGCTGCCAGGCTGGGAGCGGCCAGGTCTGGAGTGGCCGGGCCTGGAGCAGCCGGGTCAGGAGCAGCCAGGCCCAGAGCAGCAGCTATCAGACTGGGAGCAGCCAGGCCCGAAGCAGCTGGGCCCAGAGCAGCCGGGTCGGGTGCGGCAGTGGCCAGACCCGGAGCAGCTGGTTGTGGAACGGACCAGAGCAACAGAGGCCAAGCTCGGAGCAGCCAGGCCTGGAATAGCTCGCTCCTCACCTGCCTCTGCCCCAAGGCTGCCTCTCAGACATGGCTGTAAACTTTGGGGGGAACTTGAGGGTCTGCTGAATCAAGTGATGAAGGCTTAGATCTGGATGTGTTGAGTTAGTATAGCGCTGGGGTGTTGATCTGTGTGTGCCTTGTATGGAGCCTGGATGAGGTTGGTTGATCTATTTGGAAATGTCTTTTGTGTGAAGTGTATCCTTGGGCATGTGGAGGTATTATTGATTTGAGAAAATGCTAAGTAACTGATTTACTATCTGAAAAATTTAAAGTTCTGAAAGTTTAAGGTCTCTTGCCAAAAAGAGGTTTTAAAGCTAACACCTTAATTTTAATGGAGAAAGGGAATGACAAGCCCTTCCCACCCAGAACAGGTAATCCAATTCCAACCAGCAGCTCTGTTTAAACAATGTGTCCATTTACACTTGAATGGCTACACCTTTTGATAGCCTAAGGGCAAGTTTACATGTAAACAAGTTTGCTCTCAATTCCCAGGGCAGAAAAAAAAAAAAAAAAAAAAAAAAAAACAAGGTTTAAAATTATTAGATTTTAAAATTTATTCTTAGAAGTGTAAAAGTTTATTAATTTAAAAACAACAACAACAACAACAACAACAAAAAGGAGATTGAAAAACCTGATGAACAATAATAGCTGTTCATTGTAGTAGAGTCGGCGATATGGGAAGGGAGTGGACTGACTGTTCTAAGGGGAAAGGGAGGGAGGAAGAGACTGAATATAAACTGTGCACCTATGGATGAGGACTATGTGGGGTGGGAACCTGGTGGAGGGGGGAAGAAATAAGGAACCTTTGTAATAATCTGAACAATAAAGATTGATTTAAAAAAGAAAGAAAGAAAGAAAGAAAGAAAGAAAGAAAGAAAGAAAGAAAGAAAGAAAGAAAGAAAGAAAGAAAGGGAAAGGTCCCAGGTTCGATTCCAGTCTAGGGCATGTACCTTGGTTGCAGGCACATGGGGGCATGGCGGGGGGGGGGGGGGGGGGGGGGGGGTGGCCCCGGGGCCGGGCAGGGGGGTGTGGGGGGGAGCCCAGGAGGCAGCTGATCAGTGTTTCTCTCTCATCGATGTTTCTAGCTCTCTATCCCTCTCCTTTCCTCTCTGTAAAAAACCAATAAAATATATATTTAATTAAAAAATTCATTTGTTCAAGAACCGGAAGGGGATATGCCTCTCCCTCTGACTCGGTTGGCTGTCCAATGACACCTTTTCTAGGGTCTCTGGGCTGCCTGTTACAAAGCCATCCTATTGCTTACTTTAGGTCTTTGAGTTTGTAAGGCTGCCATGCAGGCATCCCCGAGCTTATCAAGTTTAGTGTGTAGCCACACTATCTTGCACGCAAGTTACTGCTGTTGTTCCAGAACTTCAGGAGGAGGTTGGGGAGAAGAGAGTACAAGGAAATGATTAGTCACTCTTAAATGTCCCAATCTGGGCCCCAGTCACTGAGCCACTGCTGGGAACTCAGCAACCTTCCCCTTCAGGCCCCACCTCCTTCACTTTCTGCCTGCTCCTTCACACACACACACACACACACACACACACACACACGCCACACACACACACACACACACACACACACACACACCCTCTGTTGCAGCCTTCCGCCAGCCGTTTCTACCAAGAAAAAGGAATCATGTCATATGTCCACTAATCCAGAACCTCCACTCTTTCAACCCCTTTGCTGATACAAGTAAGGGCAATACACCCAAGTTACTGCTCTTGTTCCAGAACTTCCAGCTAGCCCTGAGGATTATATTCATACAAGAATTCAACAGAGAAATTGCAGGAAGACCCTTACTATTGTCCAAGGGCTCACTGATGACTACAATCAAAAGAAACTAGTTGAGGCATTTAAGAAGAAAATTGCCTTCAATGGTACTGTAATTGGGCATATAGAATATGGAGAAGTAGTTCAGCGACAGGGTGACCAGCGTAAGAACATATGCCAGTTCCTCATAGAGATTGGACTGGCTAAGGACACCAGCGGAATGTTCCAGCTGGGTTTTAAGTACTTTTGGCTCACAGAAGCTTAAGTGAGGATTTCCTTGCAATGAGTAAAATTTCCCTTCTGTCCCTTGTCAAAAGTTTAAAAACTCACACCTTGTATAATGTAACCATTTAGGGTCTGCTTTTAACTTGAATTAGTGTAACTCCTTCATGCAATAAGCTAAAAAGAGCCATAAAAATAGATAAATAGATAGATAGATGCTAGATAGATAGATAGATGATAGATAGATAGATAGATAGATAGATAGATAGATAGATAGATAGATAGATAGATAGATATCCCAGTCTGGAAATGACATGGTTCATCCAGTCTCTGCCAATCCATTCATCAGGCAGATCCTTTCATGGTTCTAGCCCACCATTCAAAATGAATCACATAAACAACCTGAATTTACTTCAGTTCCCCTGGATACTAAAGACAGGATTTCAATGCAAACGGTATCATCCTCAGACAACACCAGGAAGGAAGTGGGAAAGTAACACAGGGAAGACAAGGACACCATAAGAAAGGATTGGCATTGTTAAGCAGGTGGCTCCTAAAGGCCTCTGGGGCAATCATGTGGAATAGGCCTCAGAGTTTTCTAGGCCAAGAGCAGAGAGTGTTGGGTTCTTGTCCCCTAACTCACATCTGTCATTGAGATGTATCCCATTCAGCACAACAATAATAACACAATATGGTGAGCAGAATAATGTCCCTTTAAAGAGGCCCATGTCCTAATCCCCAGAACCTGTGGATGTATTAGCTACGTGGAAAAATGAGAGTGAAGGTTCCATATAGAAATAGGGTTCCTGATCCACTGACCTTAAAATAGTAAGGTCATATGAAATTATCCAGTGGCCCCAAGTGTAATAGCAAATGTCCCTCAAATGTGGAAGAGGAGGCAAAGGGTCAGTATTTGAGCAGTGCAAAGAATAAAAGATCCCTGTTGCTGTTGGCTTCGAAGGTGGAGGAAGGGGCCACCAGCCAAGTAGTGCAGGCCACCTTCAGGAGCTGAAAAAGCAAGAAAACGGAACCTCTGGAAAGAAACACAGCCTTGTCAACACCTTGATTTCAGTATTATGAAGCTCGTTTTGGGTCTGACTTCCAGAACTGTAAGATAATAAATTTGAATTGTCTTATGTCAGTAAGTTTGTTGTGATTTGTTACAGTATCAATTGAAAGTGAATGCACATACCTGAAATAATGTTTTTTTCAAAATGCATATGAAGAAAATCATAAAATTTTGCTGAAGAATATTTTAAAGGTACCTGAATAAATAACTGGTTCATGAATGAATAATAGACAGACAGACAATATACATACACATGTATATTCCCAACCAAAATTACAAACTGACTCAGAATTGTATCGAGGCAATAAAATGCACAGTAATAGAAAGAAACATCGAGAGAAGACAATGCCGTGGTGTAAATCAACCATCTTATAGAACTGTAGTAACTAAAGCATTGGCAAAGAACACAGTAAGTTCAATGGCAGGCTTAATGCAGTGTGTGACTTTATTAAGAGGATATCATGGGGGCTGAGTTGGGGCACTAAGCCTTTGGAGGGAGAAAGGATTCTCAGAATCTCAAGATCTCAAAGACTTCAGTTCAGGAGGAATAAAATCAGAAGTGGGTGGGACCAGAGACGAACTAGCAGAGGGCATGACCATACTGCCCGGTCCTGAAGAATGCACGGGGGGCAGGGGTGAGAGTGGGGGACAGTGGCCTTCAGAGGCCTGGGCACAGAGCTGAGGGCTTCTCGCAGATCCAGAATTGTTCTTCATTACATAAGCTATCATTCCAGCCATCACCGGACAGTTCCACACAGTCCTCATCTCCAATATTGTTAGGTTCTCCTTCTTTCCAGAAGCTGTGAACACCATCAAAGCTATGAGTTCCCTCCCTGACCCAGAGCCACCCTTGGACCAGTTGGTCTATGGCCTTTGGTAGCAAATTTCTAAGGACCAGCTAGAGAGGATGGTGAATTCAGAGACAGGGTTTTCAAAATGTGGGTTCAAATACCACCTCCCTCAATCAGTGCTGGCAAAATAAAAATACGAATTCCTGTGCCCATACATAGACTTAGAGAACCAAGCCCCCTATGCCAGCACTCAGGATTCTACATCTCTGCCTATTTTCTCGGGTGATACTTTCCAACCCCAGAGTATGGGCAGCCCTGGCTTTAGGTACAGGTCTCTTCCCTCCCCTCCCCCTCCCAGGCCATTGTCGCTGGCAAGTCACCTGATATGTAAGGAGGTGTTGTCCACCCATTTCCAGGACCCTTCACTGTGCTCATCACTGAGACCAATCCAGGCGTTCTTGTTCTTTCTGATATCCCAAGATTTCAGGAATTTCTGGGGGTGGGGGAGGGATGGGGTATCAAGAGGAAGACTGGTGAAGGCCACCCGTCCCATGTCTGCCCACATTCTCATGGTCCCCTGCCTCCCACCGAAGTCTTTCTGGGTCCTAGACTGCATCCCCTACTTAAGTTGTATGTGTTCACATGTGCATTAATGCTGTGAATGTGTGGAAATGTATTAACTATGTCTCAGTTCACATATGTCAAGAGAGAAATTACTCTGAGTTTCCTTTCTTTACATACATGGGTTCCTTTAACATGACCTTCCCAGGTCCATCATGGTTTCTCCTCCAGGAAGCCTTCTCTGACTGCATCGCCCCCAAACCTCCATCTCTTAGAGAGCAGAGGAGGATGGCAGAAGGCTTTTTGTTGACCGGGTGCCTGGCCCAGCTCCAGACAGGAACCATGCCTGGCCTACCTGCTCCTCAGCATTGCTAATGACCACCAGCTGGGCCCTCAGGTCCTCGCAGGCAGAGACAGAAGCTTTCCAGGGGCTCCGAATCTTGGAGAAGAAATAGCAGCTTCCCTGGAAGAAGTCCCAGTTCCAGGGGCAGTGACGGCACAGGCCAGCTGGGGAGCAGGGACGAGATTGGAACAGCTGGGGAGACAGGCTGCTAGGTTCCCAGGCCCCCAACACAGGCATCAGATATGGGAAACCCAGGGCCAGGCCCCTCTGTTCAGCTATCAGCGCAGTCTCCAAGAAACCCACGAGAAAGATCCCATTCTGCCATGCCATTTTCAGAATGGCAGCCATGGGAGGTGAGCCTTAGCCCCACCAATGACTCCACAACTCCCTCCTGACCTTGATGCTTGAACCTTACTCAGGGTGGCATTCATCCTGGTCAGCTGATGGACGATCTCTTCCAGGTCTGATTGCAAAACAGCCACTGGAAGAAGACGACTTCAGTTATTAAGCACCTACTGTGTGTTTGGTGCAGAGAGGGCCCATGATTTCTGCATCTCATGGTAACCGCAACAGCCCATTAGGCAAACAAGAAGCGTGAGCCTTCGGCAGTGACTTGCCTGGCATCCTGGCCCCTAGGGCCTCACACAGGGGTCCGGTCCTCTCCCCCACTCCTACCTGCCCTCCACCCCACAGCCGTGACTCATCTGAGGTCACGCAGCTCAGAGCCCTTCTCATTCCAGAACCCAGCCTTCAGCCCTCACCCGGGTTGTGGTTCTCCTGGTCGTCCATCTTTCTTGGCAGAGATTGTTGGATCCTGGAGACTGCAACAGAGCAGAGAATTCCCCTTAACTGAGTGCTGACAGTATGTCTGATTCTGTGCCACCTTTGGTTTCAAGATCTGAGAACCTAACCCTCGAGAGAGAGGTAGTAACCAGCCCACCGTCACATCGGAGATGACAGAGAGTCCAAATATCCTAGCCTTAGTGGTTTTGAGGTCTGTGGAAAAGGGCAAAGACCAACCCAGACGGAAAACCCCAAGAGGCTCAGCACTCCCAGCACCTAGCCCGGAACTCACCTTGAATCAGGGTGACCAGCATGAGCATGAAGAGACCCAAAGAGAAGAGGACCAGTATCAGATGCAGAGGGGCCCGGGTTAGACACTCTGTTACAGAATGGGCAGAGCTGGGAATTAGGGACAGAACCTGCCTCAACCCACCCATGTTGGAGGTGGCCTCCCAGCTGCCCCTTTCCCCGGGTACTTGTTCCTGAACCACCCATCCCAGTACCTGGCAAACTTCTTGAGCTCCTCAACAGCCCAGGGGCTCTCTCAGATGATCTCTGGCCTTGAAATATCTCCCTCTCCTCTGAACAGGACAGAATGTATTCATCTGAGCTTCAAAGCCCTAATGGAGACCAGACCCTCTTCCCTCCGTGCAGGCTGGAGGCCAGACCTGGACTCCCCTAGGACCCTGGAGCCCTGCCCTCCCCACCATTACCCCATAATTGGGGCTCACCCTCATCAAGGCCACCTGGTTCCTTGGGGATACACATCTCTGCCATCTTCTTCTCTTCTCTGTTCTGTCCAGCTCCTCCCTGAACTACGGTTTTTATAACCTCATGTATTGTCCTAGGCACCCCTCCAGGGGACATTCCTCCCAAACTCAGGAAGAAGAATGAGGAACTATGTGGGGACACCCACTTCCTCCCAGAAAATTTGGGTAGAGATGAAATGCCTGACACAGCTATGAGATAAATCATTTAGGGTGGGGCAGAAGTTTGATGTCAATGCTAGTTCAGGAGGCACTGCTCCAAGCCCCACATAATTCTGGAAACTTCGGCCCCATCTTATCAGATCCTCAGTTTCCTCAGCTGTAAAATGGGACAATTACCCTGCTTTGTACTGTAATGTGAAGTCTAATACAGTGCACTAGTAATGGTTATGAATTTCCGGTCGCAATGATAAATACTTAGCAGTAATGGCACTTAGCACACACACACACACCCCAGAACCCTGCGCTGTGCGTTCTACCTTGCTGCAACAAATAAGAAGCCACAGGTGTGCCCCTGGTGGTCTTTGGCTGAGGAGCACTGACAGAAAAGGGTAGTTATTATCCTGCTTTAGAGCTGAGGACAGAAACAGAGAGAAACTGCCTGGGATCATACAGCCTGGAAGTGATGGGCTGGGAGTTAGACCAGGCAGGTGGACCTCTGAGTCCCTGCTTAAGGACTGCATGAAGCAGGTACCCTTTCTCCTTTGCAATTACTATTTTGTAGAGATTTACTTTGAAACTATGTGTACCAAGTTTTGAATTTATTTATGTATGGACTCCTGCCTTCCTATCTGATTCAAGTCAGTTTTATGTTACTATCTTTAATTTTTAAAATATACTTTTATGAGAACCAGGAGGATCCAAGATGGCTGCTTGGGTAGACATCTAGCCGCGGCAGCACACAACAATTTCAATGGAATACAACTAAAATGTAGAGTGGACATTGCCCAGAGCTACAGGTAGTCGACTGACTGAAATTTCTACAACAAGAAGGAAAGAGAAAACCAGAAAGAAAATCAGAGGAGCTGAAAAAAAGCCTAAGGTACGGAGACATGCTGCGCGCGCGTCTGCCCGCACGCACGCACGGAGAGGTAGCAGCCTGAGAGGAGGAGAGGGCGGGGAGCCGCCTTTCCTTCCCTAGCAGGAAGGAAATAAAACCCCCAGCCGGGGCTGAACCCCCGAACCGGCAGCGCTGAGCCCCCCCGAACCAGCAGCGCTGAGCCCCAGGCCCCGGTGGGAGGAGACGGGACAGTGAGGCGGAAAAAGGGCGAAAAGCAGGGCCCCGGGAGTCGCGCGCAATGCGCGCAGAGGACTGAATGTTAACTCTGATGCTGGGTTGCCCTAGCCGGAAGAAACAAGGCCTCCGGCGGCGCTGGGCCTCAGTCTGGACTGCTCCGAACCCCAGTTCTGGGCCAATCCCTGGGGACCCAGGCTCAGGCAGAGGGAGACGGGGCTGTGAGGTGGAGTCTGGGGAGAGTGGCGAAAGGCCGGGCCCCCGGGACTCGCGCAAACTGCGCGCAGAGGACAGTCTGTTGACTCTGATGCTGGACTTCTCTAGCGGGAAGGAGAAAAAAAAAAAAGCTCTAGGCTGGGGGAACGCGGAGGGGAGCGGAAGCCCCTGCCGGACTCCAGCCAACCGGGCACCAGCAAGGAGGCGGGCCACGGGGCCCCTGGGGGCGTGGGTGCCCCTGAGCCTTTGACCACTGAGCTCCGGCAATGGAGCCAAGGCCGGGGGCTGCTTCCTGGGCGGCGCCGTCCCAGGCAACAGGCTGAAGCAGCGCAGGAGCCCGCGGAGAACAAAGGGGTGCCACAGGCCAACCTGCTGAGCTCCCAGGACAAGGAGGAAGAAACCAAAGAAGTTCTCAATGTGAAGAAATCAAGTGAGAGCAAAAAATAGTAAAATTACTTAAGAAAGAATACAAAGAAGATCTTGAAAAATCAAAGACTAAGTCAGAACTCAACTCACCAGCCAACATTGCAACATAAATGCGTTTTAAAAAGAAAAAAAAAAAGGACAGAATGTTGGAACAACAACGGCCAGGCCTAGAGTGGCCAGGCACAAGGCAGTGGCAGCCAGACATGGAGCAGCAACGGCCAGGCCCCAGAACAACAGCAGCCAGAACCAGAGCATCAACAGCCAGCACTGGAGTAGCCAGACCTGGGGCAGTGGCAGCCAGGCATGAGGCGGAGGCGGCCAAGCCCAGGGTGGCCAGTCCAGGAACACCCAGACCCGGAGTGGCCGGGCCCGGAGAAGCCGGGCCCAGAGCAGCCGGGGTGGGAGCAGCCAGACCCAGAACACCAGTAGCCAAGCCCAGAGCATCCAGGTCGGGAGTGGCCAGGCTCGGAGCGGCCGGGCCCGGGGCAGCCGGGCCCAGAGCAGCCGGGTCAGGTGCGGCCAGGCCCGGAGCAGCGGCTGCCGGGCTGGGGGCGGCCAGGCCCGGGGGAGCAGCCGGGTCAGTTGCGGCCAGGCCCGGAGCAGCGGCTGCCAGGCTGGGAGCGGCCAGGCCCGGGGGAGCAGCCGGGTCAGTTGCGGCCAGGCCCGGAGCAGCGGCTGCCAGGCTGGGAGTGGCCAGGCCCGGGGGAGCAGGCGGGTCGGGTGCGGCCAGGCCCGGAGCAGCGGCTGCCAGGCTGGGAGCGGCCAGGCCCGGGGGAGCAGGCGGGGCTGGTGCGGCCAGGCCCGGAGCAGCGGCTGCCAGGCTGGGAGCGGCCAGGCCCGGAGCTGCAGCAGCCAAGTCCAGAGCAACTAGGTCGGGAGCGGCAGTGACCAGACCCGGAGCAGCTGGTTGTGGAATGAACCAGAGCAACAAAGGCCAGGCCCTGAGCAGCCAGGCCCAGAACAGCTCGCTCCTTGCCTGCCCCTGCCCCACGGCTGCTTCTTAGACATGGCTGGAAACTTTCGTGGGAACTTGAGGGTCTGCTGAATCAAATGATGAAGGCTTAGATCTGGATGTGTTGAGTTAGTTTAGGACTGGGGTGTTGATCTGTGAGTGCCTTGGGTGGGGCCTGGATGAGGCTGGTGGACCTATTGGGAAATGTCTTTTGTGTGAAGTGTATCATTGGGCATGTGGAGGTATTATTGATATGAGAAAATGCTAAGTAACTGATTTACTATCTGAAAAGGGATTTACTCTTGGGGAAATTGAGGGAAGAAGAGACTGAACATAAACTGCACCTATGGATGAGGACAATGGGGGATGGGGAGGGGGCAGAGGGTGGGGTGGGAACCTGGTGGAGGGGGGAAGAAATGAGGAACCTTTGTAATAATATGAACAATAAAGATTGATTTAAAAAATAAATAAATAAATAAAATAAAAAAATAAAATATACTTTTATTATTGATTTCAGAGAGGAAGGTAGAGAGGAATAGAAACATCACTGATGAGAGAATCATTGATAGGCTGCCTCCTGCATGCCCCACACTGGGGATCAAGCCCACAACCCGGACATGTGCCCTGACTGGGAATTGAACCATGACCTCCAGGTTCAAAGGGTGATGATCAACCATTGAGTCACGTCAGCAAGGCACTCTTTAATTTTGCTCTAACGTGAATTTCTTTGTCCAATAGTGGGGTAAAGGTGAAATGACTACACTAAGGAGAAGTTCTCTTCAGACCAAAAAACAAAGCAGGCAGCTCCATAGAAATAACAATTTATTATAGGGTTATTTACTTACGGGAAGATTGGGCTAGAGCAGAGCAGACAACCCAGAGGTCTGTGCAAATTATTCTTTACTACTAGACCTCTGTCACAGTGCTTTTTTATGGTATATTCAGGTACTGATGATTGACAAGACAAAGGGACAAAGAATGCAGTAGTGCCATACCACCTGGTAGTCTTGGGATAGGTGATTTCTTAAATCAGCACTGTCACCAGTTGATATTTATCTTAGTTGTCATGCCATTCTGGCCATTACTAGCAAAATTTTATGGCTACATTTTAAAGAAATGTAGCCAATTATAATCATCAACTAGAAGGCTTTGATGTGCTTGCTAAGGATAGTGAGGTTGGTCACAGCATGAAACTTAAAAATGAAATGAAATCTGGACACAGAGATGGAATTGATTTTGTTCACATCTAAATCTATATACTCTATAGACAGCATATAATTAGGTCATTTTTATCCATTCTGTCAATCTCTACTTTTAGAGAGTTTAATCCACTTATATTTAATTTTATTACTGATAAGGAAAGGTTTATATCTGCCATTTTGCTATTTGGCTTTTATATCCCCTACTAGAGGCCCGCTCTGCTGCATGAAATTCATGCCTGGGTAGGGTCCATCGTGTAAATGTACCACAGGTTATTTTTATCCACTAATCTACTGATGGGCGATAGGGCTGTTTCCAGATCTAATGCTGCTAGGAACATAGGGGTGCATATATTCTTTCTAATTGGTGTTTTGGAATTTTTAGGATATATTCCTACAAGTGGGATTACTAGATCAAAAAGCAGTTCCATATTTAATTATTTTTTTTTGAGGAATCTCCATACTGTTTTCTATTGCAGCTGCACCAGTCTGCATTCTCACCAGCAGTGTACTAGGGTTCCCTTTTCCCCATATCCTCAAAGGCATTTTTTTTGTTGTTGTTGTTGATTTATTGATAGTAGCCATTCTAGCAGGTGTGAGGTGATATCTTATTGTGGGTTTTGATTTGTACCTCTCTGATGATTAGTGATGTTGAGCATTTTTTCATATGTCTATTGGTCATCTCTATGTCCTCTTTGGAGAAGCATCTATTCAAGCCCTTTGCCCATTTTTTATTTATATATATATTTTTTTATTTTATTTATTTTTTACAGAGAGGAAGGAAGAGAGATAAAATTAGAAACATTGTTGAGAGAGAGTCATCAATCAGTTGCCTCTTGCACGCCCCCTACTGTGGGTGTGCCCGCAACTATGGTACATGCCCTTGACCCGGAATCAAACCCAGGACCCTTCAGTCCGCAGGCTGAAGCTCTATCCACTGAGCCAAACCGGTTTCGGCCCTTTGCCCATTTTTTAAATTGAGTTGTTTGTCTCTAGTATTGAGTTGTATGAGTTCTTTGTATATTTTGGGAATTAACCCCTTATCAGATGTATCATTGGCAAATATGTTCCCC